CGATCGCCACTCAAGGGCGACAATACAGTTCAGAATTTGTCATGGAGTACATGATAAGCTATGGGTCCAATGGATTGGACTTCGCATATTATCGCGGATTCGACGGGAGTCCGAAGGTGAGCCCTCGACTGTGGTTAGCGAAAAAACTTCGGAGATCTTTTTTTCCTCCACACGGAAGATGCTCTTTTTTTTCTGCACGTAACCCTCGCGATTCTTGAGAGGAAGTGAGAGCTTGCTTTTGCCCTGATCACGGTATTTTGTTTTTATTTTTGTCTATTCCTGAACGGAGATGTCGTTGTGGACAAGTAAGAAAAGTACATTTTTGCCGTTCTGTCAGCCAAGTTTTGCTTATTTTCACCACATAAATATTCATGTATGGTGACCATTTTCGAATTTCCGCAAATATGAGGCACTTTCTTGAAACACGAAAATCGGGGTGTCTGGAAAAATTGAGTGCACACTCAGTTCATTGCGTTTCTGAAGCGTATAAAAACATTTCTGGGAGTGTCAGGGTCATCTTTTTGGATTTGTGCAAAGAAATTGCTGAAAAACCCCCTTTAGAAGCAATGTCAAGGAAAACATTTCATGCCTTTTCAGATTAAATTTCAGATTCAGATTAAAATGGATGCACGTTTATTCAGATGGTGTCTGAATAAACGTGCATCCATTTTTTGAAAGAATTGCTTGTTATCGTAGCAGTGTAAACGCAAGACATTTGAAAAATTACGGTTCTGCTGGAAATCCTCTGCAGATGTTCCTCCAGGATTTTCTTATTTTAGACAGATAGCATGAAAAAATCAGTTGAAACTGTATTTTATTTTCATGGATTTTTGATGCGTGAGGAAAAACAACGTTTGTAATTTGAAAAGTGGTGGTCTTTCTGGGTCTAGAATTTACACCAGTCTAAAGTTTAATGTGATGCAACCGACTTTTTGAATTTGCACGCAATTGAAACAAAAATTTGGGAGCGATTGAAAAATCGTGAAGCATATTTCAATTGAAGGCGTCTTCATATTTGCGTAAATACGAGAGATGAGTGAGTTGAAATTTGCTGACACAGTATCACAAGCAGTTGTGTAAACGGATTTAATTTCAGGGTATCAAGTCATGCTCTTGCAAACCTTCAGATCGAAAGCACTGTGGAAGACTGTACTAATTTGAGGCATTTCACACACTGGTGTCGGCTTTTTTTTTATGTGCACAATTTTGGCATATCCGGGGAAAAGTGTTCGTCCGGATCCTTGCACTTCTGCTGTTGGTTCACTTTCCTTGTACAAATTGTGTATACTGTATGTGTATTTCGCAACGAAAAAAAAAAAGAAGAAACCCTAACCTTTTGTGTGGCAATTTCCTTGCTCGCCTCGACAATGTGTTGTGCTTATTCGCAGGTGCAGGCTCTTGGTCTGCCGCAGGGCAGGATTTCTACCAAAAGCTGTTCATTAAGCTGAGTAGGGTATGTGACTGACTGGTTATTGTAGCATGGATGGAAACTGATAATTATGAAAAACGTCCTTCCGAGTGGTTTCACAAATCATCATCCCAGAATTAGAAGATTGGCGCAACTGATTGAATAATTCAAACTGAAACAAATATCCCAGAAGATCACTCAGTTTTTCAAACATTAATGACAAATTTGAAAATGCCAGAAGAGCAAGATTTGATTGATTGTAGGCAGATGTGAACATTTTTCCAGTCATAAATTTTGAAAATCTCATAAAATATTGTTCAGGATGATAAACTTTTTCTGGAGTCCCCCAAAATTTGTTGTAACGAGATTTTATTGGATTAGTTTTTTTTAGACCGTTTATTTTTATCTCATATCATTTATCCTATATTATCATTTTGCATCTCATTTTTTAAATTGTTGAGATCGGGGTCTCAAAAGCCTTGCGACTCATTCAGAAATTGACGTGTCATTTTTTTTCTTCATACAATTATTACAGGTGGACACTATTCAAAACGATCTTATCCACAGCGGTTGTCTCTCTATAAATAATTTTTAGGTCCCATGGATAGGGTTCTCCACGACGAAATTAAAGGCACCAGTAAAAATGAAGTGGTAGAGAGAAATTTTTGTGTGAGACGAATTCGAAGGAAGTCGCAGAAAAATTAAATCCGGCTTATTTTCATTCAAAGAGCCTCGAGGCACGAAACATTCGAAGGTTCTTGTTTCTCGTGTTTTTTGTGAATTTTTTAATGATGCAATCTCTGCCACGAAATTTTTTCTGGTCTCTTGAATTCCGTGAAAGAATTACTTCATGAAAAAATGTTCCTCCTTTCCCCCCCAAAAAATGAAAATTCTTCCGAATTTGTTGCGCCAAAAGGACTGTTGAAAGAAAAAATCTGTTTTGATTTTTCTGCGACTTCTTCCGAATTTGTCTTATAAAAAATATTTTCAGTCAAGGCACACGTCTTACATGTGATTTATGGTTTTCCAAAAGAAGGGCGCGAAAACAACATTTCTGTTGAATATGTGCTCAATTTTGAGGTTGCTGTTGCTGAAGACAGTAAAGAAGATTGGAACCTTTTGGAAAAATTCAGCTCAAATTGGAAAAAAATCACCGATAATTGGAGCAGAATTATTTCATTGGATTTCTTTAGATCCGCATAGTTGAAGTTTTAAAACTTTTAATTACCGCAAATTATTTTACATCGCCTCTCAACTTCATCTAAATTTCTTCAGTATTACTAGTAGGATAGTCGTTTTTACGAATCAAAATATAAACAAATATACTGCATATGAAAAAAATGTTCGTTAGGGCTACCTGCTTGAAAATTCGAAGTTCAGCAGGACTTTCGAGAACCCCCTTATTCTTTCGCTGCATCGCCTCAGGCTTTTTTCGAAATGAGTTCGTTGACCGTCGAAAATGAGATGGGAACGTATTTGTAATTCTCCAATTGCTAAATCCCTTGTCCAGCGTTATGTGCATGCAAATGTGCTTGACTTGTTCCCTTCAATGTTCTGTCCTGCATGACTCACGGGCTTCTACTTACCTTTTTCCGTCTTATTTTTCATATTTTTTTGAAACGAATTTCGAGTGATATTTGCTGGACCATGGCATTGAATATTTGACGTGATTTCTCTTTTTTTCCACGTGTCCAGACATTCAAGGGAAATACGGACTCGAATTCATTGTACGTCAACATCTTCGACCCTCCCATTGTTGCCCAATGGATAAGAATCAACCCGACTCGGTGGCAAGATCGCATATCGATGCGTCTGGAGCTCTATGGTTGTACCTACAGTAAGTTTTGGAATTCGTGTCTTGGACGAGGGGCTTTTCGAAAGATCTGCTTTTCGTGATAAAATCGTTTATGGGCTGTGCGTGCAGCGCGTTTGTTTATTGTTGCAATTTATCTTGGGCATTTTAGGAATATCTGCATTTTGTGTGGAAAATGATTCACGGGCTTTGCGTACGGTGTGTTTTTTGCTGTTATGATTTGTCGAGTCTTGTGTGATCCTGAAGGAAATTGGCAGTAAGACTGAGCAGGCTCTAAGACCAGGCATTTTTTCGCGCTTTCTGTTGGAAATCCAAGAATTACGGTAGAACCTCGATAACTCAAACCTACGTGTGTCGATTGTTTTTTAAGCCTGTCTGAATTCCCTTGGAAAAAATGCATTGAAAATCTCCTAAATACAGTATAGGCTTCACCCTCAAATCCTCAGTAAATCGAATTTTCTTGTGGCCTTTTGGATATTTTTTTTTATTGACGCAAGACAGAGAAAAGCTTCAAAAATGTCACCTGATGTGTTTTAAAAGAAAACGAAAGACGAATTGGGGAAATGAACCCTTGCCTCAAAGTGTAGCATCCTTTGGACTCATTTAAGAAGCAAGTTCAGGCCTAGAAAATCACCAATTAAAATTTCCTGTGATTATTCCTTCTTTCCCCCAAACGCAAATGCTTTCATGCTCCTTTCTCAAATAACTAATAACGTCCATAACTCATAATTTTGTTCCTGGTCCCTCGAATTTCGACTTGAAGAGATTCAACTGTGTTCCATGTCGAAAGCATTTATAGCTCTTTTGTCGTTAATTGTTTTTGAGCATGTGTATCCAGGTAATTAATTGTTCAAAAACGGTGGTTTTGTTTTTTACAGCAACATGCGTGCCATTGTAAATTGCTAGTCTCAATTCCGCAAGGAACTCCTCGAAGACATTCAAGTTCCTTTTTTGTGCGTCTGACCTTCCTGACAAGAGAAAAGAAACCGCTGGAAGTGGTGTACTGTATATTTCTCGAGAAAAACCTTTTTTTTTAAACTGAAGTTGATTATTTTTTATTGTGAGTAAATACTACTGTATAACCGAACTAAACGTGACGGATTCACACTTGAATGCTTCCAAGTTCAAAAATGTGCTAGCAATTATGCCGTGATTGGAAACTTATAGTAATGAAGCGAGGAAAAAACTCATTATTGATGCAATAATTTGCTGGAGTTCGACGCATGTCGTGCATAAACAAATTCAGTGAGATCATATTTTCTTTCAATAGCCTTCAGAAGCGCTTTTCTTATTCTTTTTTTTTATCGTATGCCTGTATGTTTGGTACATTTCATTGGTTGGCTTTGTGTTTTCAGATCCGGATCCGAAAGCTGTTGGGTTGGACGGTGTGACCTATTTCGAGCGTCGTGTGGGAGAAGATCGGGAACGTTATGATCGACCTATAGAATTCCTGTCGTACGACCACCCTTTACTGAGGGATGAAATCCGATTTCGTTTCAAAACCAATGAGGCGGACGGTGTGATTCTCTACGGCTGGGGAAAACAAAACGACATTTTGGCTGTGCAATTGGTTGACAACCGGCTGTTTTTGAATGTCGGACTAGGTTTGGCACTTTCTTCACCGTTGTACAGTATTTTTCGAGTTGAACCTTGATTTAGTGCCATCATTTCATTTTCTTGAACATTTCGCTGCTTTTAATTCGTGGGGATATGGTTAGTTTGAGACGAAGGCCAATCCAAAACTAAATCATTGTGAGACAGGTACAATTAGAGAAGGGGTCAGTTTGAGATAGCATAAACAAAACCTAACCTTCACGCAAATCTTCACCTTCATTCTCTTCTCTCCCCTTTTTTTCAGAACCTGTATAACTCATCATTTTTCTTCCTCACACGTTAGATATAATGTTCCGAAACAGACCAAAAGAGGAATGAAAGCAAGAACATGGTAATTTCAAAAATCTGAAAAGAAATCTTTTGTTATGTGCGTTGGATATTGCGTCATTGCATGATTATCGCATTTTCAAACCAAGTTCGATCATCATGAAAGCGAACAGCATGAAACATGAACTCATGTAGCTCACGTGACTGTCTCCAAATGTGGTGGAATGTCTCAAACATTCTGCATCTCAAAATGTTTATGTCTTGAATAGTTCCTTTTCAAACTGTCCTTGAACCAAATTGGGGATATGTGTGACAGGAAGGTTCAGTTGAGGGCTTCTACTATGAAAAAAATTAAGCTTGTTTGCCGAATTTTTGAGTCTGTCTTATGAATGTGCACCCAAGAATAAGTTTACGTAATACTTACTAAAATTCGAAGAACTGTCGATTTGTGCCGTTTCTATGCGTGTTTTTAATCTCTCAAAACCTGCTGATTTTCATGCCTGCTCTTCTTAAAACTCACGCTTCTGACTTGCACCCCGATTTATCGTGTAGGTGGAAGAGAGTTGACCTCATTATCCGTCGGAAGCCTGTTGGACGACGGCATTTGGCATGACGTCTTCATATCCAGAGATAAACGGTCCGTGACTTTGAGCGTCGATCGTGTCGTGGTTTCGAAAAGCATCCAGGGCAATTTTCAGCGCCTGAACATCGACTTTGCGGTGAGTGAGAAACAATAAAAAATTAAATTACTCTTCCTAATGGCGCAATAATGACCATTGTTGTATTCAGTGGTACGTTGCCGGTGTTCCGAGCAAGAAGCGTGGATTGGACACAATCCGGCATTTCAAGGGTTGCTTGGAAAGCTTGTACATCAACAGACATAATTTTTTCACTGAAAATCCTTGGCGACCTGATCAAGCCGTGAGTTTTTACTTTTCTGTTGAGTGTTTTTTCTAATTTTTAAATGCTTACGGTTTTTGCAGTGGTTGATCGTCCGGGAATCCGCGCAAGCGTCTGTCAATTCGAACAGCATCGGATACGATAACGAGCCTGCGTTTGTGAGACATGACAAATTCATGAGTGACATTCGACGACAACTGTGCAACGTAAGTTCATTCTTGGAAATTATTATTATTATTATTTAATTATTATTTTTTAGGAGCAACAAATCGTTCCTGTGACCTTTTTGACGAGTGAATCCCATGTCAAGCTGAAGGGCTACGAAGCCTTGGAAAGCCTCAGTATTTCTTTCGAGTTCAGAACGTTTGAAATGGAAGGAACACTCGTGTATCACAAGTTTTACAGTGACGGATATGTAAAGGTAAATTCGACACCGCAGTGGAATCCTTCGGGTGGCGAAGCAATAGCTTCAAATCAGGAAGAATAAGATGGTCAGTGATCTGGATTTCCGGCCTGTGGAAACGGTTCGCGAAATGGACATCAAAACTGGAGCCTATTATTATTTTGCCGGTGAGTTTCGTCCCATTTTTTTCATTTTCACGAGAGATCAAATACGAAAACAACTTTTTAGAATGTAAGGAAACTTTTGAAATTCTCTAGAATTTTCCAAAATTAAGACCCTGTATTAGGGTATCGTCTTAATTGTGCTGCTCAGGTATTAATATACTGTAGTAGAATTCCATTTTAGTGAATCTCGTAAACATTTTTATAATACATTTTTCTTCATAAAGATTTGTTTGCTTGGTCCCAGCAATTCAACCATATGTGCAATTGGAAAAATCTGATTTCAACAAACTAATTTTAGACTTTAATGTCCGTATCCTGATTCTGTGCATAGGCCATAAGGTTATTTACTAAATGGTAGAAAAATAGAAAAAAATTGAACTGATGCAACTTTCCAACTACAAAGGAAAAAAACTTCCTGCAGAGAAAATTGTGTGTTGAAAAAATACGTTACGCATGACATGTTTCTCGCCTCTTAGTTCCGTATCCATGTCAGAATGTGCGCCTTTCTTTCAAATGAGCAGAATGTTGGAAATGATTTTCCATTGGGTATTTTTAGAATGGGCGTTCCTTACCAATTTCCCACAAAATTCCTGTGTATAATGTCTTGAATGAAAACCATGAAAATCTCAATACAAAGCATTTTCTGTTGTATGTAATTTTTTATTGGTCCCTAGGAGTTCATGGTGCTGTAACAAGATTTTGCTGTAGAAGGTCTCCTGAAATTAAAAGATCAATTGTGTTTTGCAGAAAATTGGTGTAAACGGGATTGTTCAGGAAGTGATCCTCTTGTTCAACCCTTTGTAAGGAGAACATTTGGTAACTAATGTACCGGTATTTTATCTTTTATAGTACAGTACATTACTGTAAATTCAAATCTACGGTATGCAGTACTGTATTCCACATTCGTGTTGAGAACACCAGCACCACAGTCTTGCTTATTTTTTATCACAAGGTATTTGTAAGGAAATGTGTAGCAATGATGCTGAAGCACTTTTCACAACTTTACCTCATTAATGCAATTTGAACATTTCACTTCGATTCATTCCTTCGGTTTGCAGAAATGACCGTGTTTTTTTCTATTCCTGGCAGGTGGTATGAAAGGTTCCAAGGGCTTCATTGGTTGCATGAAGAGCATCGTGGTCGATGGGAATAATCAGTTTCCGTTGAANATTTCACTTCGATTCATTCCTTCGGTTTGCAGAAATGACCGTGTTTTTTTCTATTCCTGGCAGGTGGTATGAAAGGTTCCAAGGGCTTCATTGGTTGCATGAAGAGCATCGTGGTCGATGGGAATAATCAGTTTCCGTTGAATTGGGGAACGGAAGAAAAACCGTGTTGTCAAGGAGAGTTGTTGTTGGATGCGTGCAGAATGTTCGATCGTTGCTCCCCAAACCCCTGTGAACACGGAGGTCGATGTATACAAAATTCTGAGAGATTCACGTGCGAATGCGAAAACACTGGCTACACCGGAGCCGTTTGTCACGTTCGTGAGTGACTTCAAAAGCAATTTTAATCACGAGAATAAAGATTCTTAAATCGAATTTTGACGATTGTTCATTTGTCTTTTCAGCTCGGTATTCGCATTCGTGTGCTGCTCATTTCCAGGCGAATCCCGGCGAAATGAAGAAGTCGATAGAGATTGACGTGGATGGCAGTGGACCTTTGACCCCGTTTCCGGTTACCTGTACCTTGAGTTAGTATCCCGATTAATTTTAAATTTTTTTCCCCCGAATTCCCGTTCAGGAAAACATGAAGATTCATATGGTTCTGTTACAGATGAAGACGAGGTTTACACAACGGTGGAAAGGAAAACCCGTGGAGCAATTCGTTTTAGCGAAGAATCTGGACCCGAACGAATTCATTATCCGGTGGAATATGATGCAGGGTTGGACGAGATGGATTTGCTGATAGATAGATCAGTTGCGTGCGAACAACACGTCGCATATACGTGCAAAAATGGAGCACCATTGTTCGGGCAAGATTCTGGTGCGTTTTAGATTTTTGCTTGTTGTGCTAAAATTGTAATCGAACCTCTGAAAGTCGAACTTCAAGGGACCATAAAAAATCGATATAGAGAGATTTAGAGTTGAGGAGAAGAAAGAATCACAGGAAATTGTATTTGGTGATTCGTGGGCCTCAAATTGCTTCTTAAATGATTTGACATGATGCCTAACTTCGAGGCACTGGTTAATTTTTCCAATTGGTCTCTCACTTACTTAAAATAGAAAATACCTCCAGAATATTTTAGTTATGGAGGTTTAAGGAGGAGAATCTTCAAGTTAGAGAGGTTTTTAAAGCATTGTTTCTAAGGGGATTCGATAAAATTCGAAGTGGGGAGGTATTCGACTTGGCAAGGTTCGATTTATCAAGGTTCACCTCTAGTTGAAGCGCAACTGTATGCAAACGAAAATTATTTTCGTGTTCTGCATGTGTAATGGGGAACGTTTATACCTGCAGAGAGAGGTTTGACATTGATTTCGTCTTCCATGTTCCTTTTTACAGAACGAGTCAGCAACAATTTGGGTTCCATGAGAGCCACAAACAGAGAGTATTTCCCCATCCAGTGGTTTTCACGCATCAACAAACCCATGGATTATTGGGGTGGAGCGATTCCGAATTCGAAGAGTTGCTTTTGTGGCATGTACGACTCCTGCCAAGGTGGTGGAATGTGCAATTGCGATCCGAGTGAGTTCTTCAGATTCTTCAAATTTTGGAAAAAATAATAATTTTAAAATGCCTAGATCAGTTCATCGCTCTTCAACGATTGCCTTTGTTTATAATTTAGAGCAGGTTTCGGTTGACTTTCTGCCGTAATCGAAAATCAATTCCCAGTATAACCTGCCTTGAACGTAGGTTACAGGATTTTCGAGTAGTTTTCCTCTGTACATTTTTCGATCTTCATTTTTTCAGAGCGGAGTGTTCAGCAACGTCCTTCCCAACCGGCTTATCCCGGTGGACCCCTGATCGACCCACTGCGCAAGGACGAATTCAAGAACATGGACGAGGGGTACCTGAGACTGAAGGAGGACCTCCCGTTGTCGGCTGTGTCCGGGTTTCTCAGAGGAGCCACGAATCCAGGGGCAACTGGTACAGGTCCCAAGGAGGGTATCGTCAGCATTGGCGACTTGGTTTGTCGAGGGGACAGTAAGTTTTCATGTCGATTGTGTCTTTTTTAGGACATACGTTGAATTTATTCAATGTCGAATTTAAAGAAAGTTCCTGTCTGAATTCCGTTGGGAACAACGCCTTGAAAACCTCCCCAACTCGAAGGCCTAAACCATCGTACCTCCATAACTCGAAATTCCTGGAGGCCTTTTGGCTTGGCTAATATTTTATTGACACAGGAAATGGAAAAGCTATAAAATGTACCTCGATGTGTTCTGTGTGTTCAGCATCATATCAACTCATTTAAGAAGCGATTTAAAGCTCTGAATATCACCAGTTACAATTTCCTGTAATTCTTCTTGCTTTTCCCTTAAATAAATTCTCGTCTCCCTAACTTGATTTTTCTGTTGGTCCCTTTAAATTCGACTGGAAAAGGTTTGACTGGACATCAGAAGGCGTGTTATTTATTTTTATTTTGTGCTGCAGCTCTGGCTCATGACGTTGTCACGTTCCGAGTTCCCGATGCAACCCTGGATTTCCCTGCTGTCGAATGGGGACAAAGTGGAGATATCTACTTCGAATTCAGGACCACGACTCATGATGCTGTGTTGATTCATTCCCGCGGCGTCAATGGAGACTTCATTAAAGTGAGCACTGAACATTCTATCCGCGAACGCCGCGTTAATGCGACATTCTAACGAAGTTCGTTGTTTTACTGGAAAGTTGAAAGCTTTTCAACTCCAAGTAGCAGTAGATAACTGGAGCGAGAGATTTTTGAGTGAATCGAGAGCGAAATAATCTTTGCCTCTCGATTAAAAATGACCCAGTTCGACCAGATTTGGGTGCTAACTTCGAAACTGTTCGTGAACTGGGGACTGTATACATTATTTTTATGAATTAAGTAGCGGGAACGATCACTATTTATTATTTCCGTTAATTCCTGATTTTCTGGCGCTGTTTCGGACGGTCTCAACGGTTTCGGTTCTTCGAAAATACTGTATTGCTTGTTTTAAAATCTGTTGGGAATAAGTTAGTAATTTCCCTCAATTTAGTGGTGAAGAGATGATGAATCACTCGTTTCTGCGTTTCTTTTCACGTATAGGTCTCGATCATTGGCGGAGATCATTTGCAATTCGAGTACCAAGCTGGAGCTGGTGGTGCCTTAGCGGTAAATATCGAGACGCAGCATAAAATTGCTGATGACCGCTGGCATTCCTTGCGAGTGGAAAGAAATCGTCTCGAAGCTCGAATGGTGCTTGACGAAGCAATTTCTCAGGCGCAATCGAATAACAATGGTCCTGTTCGTCCTATACAATTGAATTCTACGTTCACTGTGGGCAAGTATTATTTTTTTATATCTTTTTTAGGAAGAGTGTAAGTTTTAATTGACGTAGATCACGATTTTGATGTAGGAGTTGTTGTCTTAGTAATATTAATTTTATGTGTAATTTCTCTCCTTTTTTTCCCACGTTTAAAATTTGCAGCAGATTTTCTTCATAATTCGGTAGGTATACAATTAAAAAAAAAATGTTTTTTTTTTTATTTTCCGCGTCGAACAGACTTACTGTTTTGATTTCTACTTGAAAAATATATCTTGATTCAACTCATGTTCAAAGTTAAAATTTAACACTCATCATCAGCCGAGTCAAATTCAAAGGGACCAGAAAAAATCGATCCAGGGAAATTCCGAGTTTGGAAAACAAGCATTTTTGTTGTGGAGAAACAGAAAAATTGCAGTGATTTGTAAATGGTGATATTTTGTGCCTTAAATTGCTTTTCAAATGAGTTGAATGCTGAAATAGGAGGCAGGGGTTCATTTGCCCAATTACTCCCTCACTTCCTTTCAACAGACATCGTTACTTTTTTATTGCTTTCCTCTTTCCTGTGTCAATGAAATGATAGTCAGAAAGCCTTGGGAAATTCGAGATACGGAGGTTTTAAAAGGGAAAGTCAAGTTAGAGACGGTTTTAATGTATTGTTTCTAATATTGACTTCAGGCAGGGACTTCGGAAGGTTCGGCTATTAGAGTTGCAACTGAAATGAAGGACTACGGGAATTGGTGTTTGTTCAGGTCGAAACTGAAGGACAAAAATCTTCAAGATTGCAATTCGCACTGATTTGAAATGTTGACCCGTTTTTTTTTCATGGTAATTTCGCAGGTGCGACTGTTGATTGGAGGGATGGGTTCGTTGGGTGCATGAGGTCCCTGATGGTGAATGGTCGTCAGCTGAAGATGAACGAAATGCTGGACAAGTACGAGATTTATGGAGTAACCTCGGGTTGCATTGGGAAATGCGACTCGAATCCGTGTCTGAACAACGGCACTTGTCTTGAAGGCTACGACAAGTACATTTGTGACTGTCAGTGGACTGCTTTCAAAGGACCCATTTGTGCTGATGGTGAGATACATTTTTTGTGACTCACTCTTTGTTTAGATGCGTGGCTTGTCGAATTTCGAAGATGTTTTCGAGATTTCCAGGATTCCAGCTGCCTTTGAAGTCCGTAATTTTTAATTCCTCTGTTGATTCTAGCCTTCAGTAAATTTCCGCGAAGTCAGTCGCACATTTTGATCCCGAGAATTTTTTTTTCCATTTGGACAGCATGTGTTTTTAGCGTTTGTAGTGGAAATGGTGAACCGAATTGTTTCTCAGCGATGGATTCATTCATTTTATTTGCACGATGAAATTAATTTTCGCAGAAATTGGTGAGATGCATTTTTTTGGCTCTCTGTTTGAATTAGTTATTTGTCCCATTTTAAAATGTTTCGAGATTTCCAGCTGCCCGTGAAGTCCGTAATTTTTATTTAATTGTTGATTCCAACTTATAGTAATTTCCGCGAAATCAGTCGAAAATACATGCATATTAGCGTTCTAGTGGAAATGATGACCAGAATTATTCGTCAGCGATGGATTTATTCATTTTATTTGCAAAATGAAATTTCTTTTTCGCAGAAATTAGAGTGAACATGATGAAAGATTACATGATCAAGTTCTCATTCCAGCTGCCTGTGAAGTCCATAATTTTGAAATTAATTGCCAATCGTTGCTTCGGGTGAATTTCCGCGAAATCATTTGCAAATTTTGCTCTCGAGAATTGTTTTTCTGTGTGGGCAATGAAATCCATTAATTTGCACAATGAAATTCATTTTTTCCGAAATTGGGGGAACATGATGAACGATTACATGATCAAGTACGATAATCACTCCAGCTGCTTGTGAAGTCAATAGTTTCGAAATAAATTGCTAATCGCAGCTTCGGGTAAATTTCCGCAAGATCAGTTGCAAATTTTGCTCTGGAGAACTTTGTTTCTACGTCGAATTTTTCTTAAGCGATGGACTTTTTCAGTTTACATGCACACTGAAAATTCTTTTTTGCAGAAATTGGAGTGAACATGATGAACGATTACATGATCAAGTACTCATTCCAAGAGAATTACAAGTCAACGTTGAACGAGTACATCCGAGTTGGGTTCACCACGACTAACCCACAAGGATTCTTGTTGGGCCTGTCATCTGACTCCTCGAAGGAATACCTGACGTTGATGGTATCCAACAGTGGGCATTTGAGAGTCGTTTTTGACTTTGGTTTCGAAAGACAAGAATTCATTTTCCCGGATCACATGTTCAACGCTGGACAATTCCACGATGTCACATTCATGAGAAGGAATTCCGGTACTGAGATGGTCATCAAAGTGAGTAATTTACTCTGCGTTTCTTCGAAAAATGGACACCCGGAATGTGGATGATTCGACTTAGGTACGCTTGGAACTAGAAAACATCTGTCTCCGAAATCTGTTTCGGACTCTGAGAATATTTAAAAATTTAAATTTTTTTAAGTTGTCCTAGTTTTTGAAGAGATCTAGCTATTTACATTTTCAAGTGCAAAAAGTAAATTTCATTCTGAAATTACCCGATTTCATAATCAAAAACTCGCTAATTTTTTGCTTCTTCTTACAATATTTTTCCATCATGTGTGCAGACTTGTTCTTGTTCTTTGCTTCTTGAGCTCCTTCCGATATCAAAATATCAGATTCTGTGTGGTTTTCTTCGGTACATTTATTTACTGTATCTTGAAGTTGAGAAAAAATTTATTGATTCCATTTTTTGGGGTCTTTTTCTCAACTATTCATCTATAGGAGAACTAATTAAAAAGATTTACGTTGACGGTCTATGCGGAGACTGTGTCCGACATGCAGATGTTCTGACTCGCGACAAGGTCCATGCACCGATTTGTCCTTATCTCGTGGCCCCACTGTACATTTCTTAAGAATTGGTTGCGAGCAAATTAACATCTACGAAATTTTTCGATAGGTGGACAATTATCAGCCGATGGTGAGAAAGCTTCAGATCAGTGGATCTGCTGATGCGCAGTTCAACAACATCAACAACTTTTACATCGGGAAGAATGAATCCATGACTGCAGGTTTCATTGGCTGCATTGCGAGAGTGCAGTTTGATGATATTTTCCCATTGAAACTGATGTTCCAGCAGGATGCACCCGAAAACATCCGCACTAGCCATGGTGAGATTCGTATCGCAGAGGAAAATTTTATAAAATGTATCAAAAATTCTCGTTTTTTGTAATGCGTGCGGATTCGCTAAAATGGCGCCTAAGCATCACGACGTTCTCTGTCCTTGGCTCTAGTGCGATGATGTATTGCACTTTTATTGGGGTTTCGACTTCCATCCCCGGTGGGGATGTCCGAACTAACGAAAGTGTCGTCTTGATCATTTTTCAGATTGAAAATGAGTTAACTGAGCTTAATTTAAAAACAAATCTGATTCAGTAAAACTAAAATAAGACTACACTATTTCTACCGAGAGCAGGTGACGCGTATCAAATGCCAAAAAAATTAAATTTGCCGACTTCACGTCGAATCTTGCTCTTTAAAATGTCGGGAAGGTGTCTCAAACCCTGACTTGTTGAAAAATTTGCGTTCCTTCAAATGAGCATGGGTCGATTTTTTTTTAAGTGAAATCCTGTGATTCTCTGCCCCATTACCCCCGCACAATGTCTCTTGTTGATGCATCAATGAAAAGTGTTTAAATCTGAAATTCTGCATTGAACACGTAAGAAAAATCTTTTAATTTCAAACTTCTAATTTTTTAAGAATCTTTCATGTGAGCCAGAAGATATTTTTCCTTTTTTTTTACGTGTAAAAAAAAGGTCAGAATTTCCCCAGAAGTTGGACAACTCCCAAATCTTTTGAAATCAAATATTTTAAAAGGGAATTTATCCTTCAGTGAGTTTCTCTTATACTTCATTTAGCAAAGTTGTTGAATTCTGGGCCCAGTGAAAATTTCTGAAGACACATTTTTTTATTTTCATGCAAACTTTCAATATTTTTGAACGAATGGAATTTATTGCGGTACTTTCCTAAGGGAAAAAGGTGATTCTAATGAAATCAAAATTTGATCAGGAATGGATTAAGTTTGTAAACCAAGATCCCCGTGTATGTTTTTCAAGCCAACTGGACTCAAATCTAGAGTTCCGTCTCTTTTTAGCTGATATTCACGAAGACTTTTGCGGGATCGAGCCAGTGACGCATCCCCCCGAGGAAGTGGAGACCCGACCGCCTCCGGTCGTGGATCGTGCCAAAGTGCGCGAATTCACCCAAAACACAGACTCTGCCGTTTTGGGAGCCATCTTGGGAGCGATTTTCCTCGCATTGGTCGTCATGGCCATCGTCATCCTGCGACTCCGAACCCGGGACATGGGCGAATACATGACGCAGGAAGACGAAGGAGCGCGAGAGGCATTCGACGCCGACGAGGCCGTCGTCAAATCGGCAACTGGGCCACGTGTCCAGAAACGCAAAGAGTGGTTCATTTGAAAGAGTTTTTTTTTTTAAAGCTTCGCAGAGGTTTTTATTCAGTTTCGTGCGCCTCATGAGATTCATCTCGAATTTTCGGTTTGTACTTTTTAATATATATGTATGAAGTTGTAAGCCGCATGAGGCGCATGAACCCTGAGGGTATCCTGGTCATTTTTACGCAATGCATGTTTTATTCTTGGACAAAACGAACCATATTTGATATCCCTGGATCTTCCGTTCGTTCTTTCGTTTCATTGTGGCTTCCAAAAGAAAAAGTCTGGACAGTTTATGTTTTTAAAAGAAAAAACTGCGATTATGACGAGGGAATTCATGTCTGACCCAGTCGAAGGTTGTTTTTTTTCGTTGGACAGTCCCAAGTTCATAGAGGAATGGATCTCACACAGTTTTTCCCTCCTGGATTATTATCCATGCTTTCTGTGTCACGTTGAAAGCAATCTCTTTATTTTTGTTCCGTCCATGATGTTTTGTTGAGAATTGCGGAGAATTTTTATTAGACGAAGTGCTGCTTGCGATTATTGTGTGAGCTTTATCGGTTTTATCAGCCCGTAAACAAGGTGTCTTAAACGAAGTTAATCAGCGTAACCATCCAAGTATTGGGAGAAATTTTCCGGCCAAATGTTTTTCAGAGATTTGCTTAGTATATGTCAGCATCATGTGGACACTAACCAAATGTGTCCTAAAGTACCTGTGCTCGTTTTTCTTTCCCCCAGTCCGCGTGAAATTTATGCGATTCTCGGGCGTGCAAAAAGCCCGTTTCTTATTGTCTTTGCGTGAAGAAATTGCGCTCCGTCCAATTGGTTGTTCTTCGTTGTCGGTTGTCAGGATATTTAAGTTTTCACCCAACGAATCGGTAAAAAAAAAAAAAAAAACCTCGGCCTATCCAGCAAATATTTGTTCATCGCGTAGCATTTTGTAATTTTTTGAGTGTGATTGCTGTCGGATGCGTTAATAATGTAGCTCCGACTGGAAGTTGTTTTACATCGTTTTCCCCTCGTGAGATGAAAATATACAAAACTTTATCATGTTAAGTTCGATCTTTTGTAGAGAGGTGATCAGAATAGATTCCAATCGTTGTAAAGTTCGTTGCTGTTTGGGTTGAGTTTCTGGTCAGTGGTGAATTTTTCAAGAGGAGCATGTGCTATTTACCGGAATTAATCGTCAAAAGTCAGAGTTCAATTGAAAATGAGGACGATGTCTTACCAGATTCATACGTGCTTTATGCAATAATGTCAGTCTTACTGCAGAATTTGACAAAATTACTGCATCTGGGCGCAGGGTGAAATTTTAATAAAATTGCGCGTTCTCAAATTTTTATGCTTCGGAGGTCCAATTGCAATTTGAATTGCCCCAATGTGTTGAATGTTCAACATCAAATTGAATAAATTCTTACAGACTTTACGTATTCTGAAAATGTGATGCCGCTCTTGATTGTTGCAACTGTTGGGTTCGAGAATATTCTCTAGATTTTTGATTATCTGAGCATAAAATCAAATATCGGTCACCTTCAGGAAAGAATCCAGTTAATAAAATACTCTGCTTTTTCTCGTTCTCACATCGAGACATTTCGTTCCAAAGGTACTGCTTACGCGTGTTCATAAATATTCATTTTAACGTCGTTTCAAGGTATTAATTCCTTCTGTAATACAGTTCTGTATGAGGTAAGATATTCTTGTGCGTAAATAGTCTAAGAACTGATGACGTAGTAGCAGGCGAATTGGCAAATAGTTTATTAGCTTGATACGAAAAAGTTTCAGTCTTATGTAATACGTATTTCGTTCTCTATTAGAAATCCATGATTCTTATCTTCCATGAAAAGGAAGCGGATAGGCTCGAATTGACGATGCCTTCCGTTGAGACAAGTTGTGATCTCGATGATACAAGTAAGTTTCTGCACAAATACAGTACGAAACGTATCTGCTTGGAATGTGATATATTTCTGAGTTCTCAGTCTACGGACCAAATAATCGAATTCAGCTTCCCACAGGTAAATCAAATCATCTTTGAAGCGATGAATCGGTCTTTTTGATACAATCAATGTTGAACTCCGTCTTTGCTCTGGACCGTTTCAAGATGCGCTCGAAGCCTCTGCTTGTTCTCAAGTACCGATTGCGACTCGAGGTGCTCATCTGGATCCCATCATCAGTCACTTCCGATGTAGCAACATCAACCGGAAAAGGTCCGCCGTTGAAGTAATTTCTCATTAGTCTGGACCTCCTTCTGCTCGCCTCGTGATCCACTAGCTCAGAGACCGGCCTGATTGTTCGCTTCCAGCGGTTGTCGCCGGTGATTTCATTATCCAGTGAGTGATTGGTGTATTTCTTGGAATTGATGGGAAGATTTGATTTGAGACTTCCGAAGCGGACTCGATCCCTGAAAGCCACGCGTTTCAGGGATTTATTCCTGCTGGTGATTGACTCCACGGAGTTCAGCTGCTGCTGTTGATCATCGGATGACTGGGATGATCTTGAAAGTTTCAAGATGCCGGATTGTGATATGGTTGTGTCCTTGATTTTATCGTGATCCAGTGATTCGTTTCCCGATTCCGAAGGTGATTTGAACTTCATAGTGTTGACGAGAATTTTACTGGAACTTTTCGTGCTTTCACTGGTTGACTCTTCCTCTGAAATATCGGAGAATTCTTTTAAATATTGGGTTAGTTCGAACATGTTTTTCGAGGAGCGTATACAAAAACTGTACCCAATTTTCCCAGTCTCACCCTCCTTTTTCGTTTCGTTATTTTAAAATGCGTAAAAAAATGCTTATGATGAATATACACTGCGCAAGTCTAAATGAAATTGTTACAACTCGGGAACAGGAACAATTCCAGTTATTTTATTTGAAGTTTAGCAGCAAGAGTGACAGATTTCATGAAGCGAATGATATTTTGTTAATTCCTGCAATATTCCGTATGGTACTTCTTTGACGATCAACTTGGAAAATAACACATGCTACTCTTGGAAAAGCTCACTGACCAGCGTGTGAAATTTTTGAAATAACTCGAACAGCGAACAATTTTAGCATAAATTTGAATTGACTCTACGATTTCTTTGACGATCAACTTGGAAAATAACACATGCTACTCTTGGAAAAGCTCACTGACCAGCGTGTGAAATTTTTGAAATAACTCGAACAGCGAACAATTTTAGCATAAATTTGAATTGACTCTACGAAGGATCGAAGGATAAAAAATTATCCTGATGAAATTTTGACTATTTTCCTTTCACGAGGATAATAAACGAAGTGAAACTTATTCCAATCGGAGCAACAATAATAATATCACATGAGGCAATCGCACTCAAAAAAGTTACCATTTGCGAAGCGAATAAATTTCACAATCACAAATTTTGTACATACAGTATAGTCCTGGAAAACGGAGAAACGATTCACCTTCCAGCTTAGTATCACCGCTTGATAATTGAGTCTTGATCCTCTTGTCGCAGCAGTTGTCAACCACCACCTCTTGTAGTGTCAGTCCTGCGAAGTCAGCATCGGGAATAGCAAAATCGAGAACAATCTGATTATCTCCGGGAACTGCGAATAACTTCAATTCGGGTTCCCAGTGATGCCTCTCCTTGTTCGCGAATAGATAGCTCAACATTGCGAATCCATTCGATGTATTGGCATCATCTGCTTGAAACAAGAGCTTCACTGATACTGGCTTTTGTTGCTTATTTCCAGGGAATGAAAGAAAATCCGAGATTTTCGGCGCGAAGGGAAGATGAACATCGAGGACCATATTTTTGACATCCGGAATTTTTGACACGACTCGATTGTCCGTTGTTTCAATTTCTGGGAGAGTTTGAGGGATCGGATTCTTGAATGACATGATCGGCAATTTGATTATTGAAGGGGTTTCCGTGGAAGGGCATGAGGCGTGGATTTGACCCTTGGGTTCAGTTGCTGCCTTCGAGTTTTCCAAGGAATCACGGAATGGATTCTCTGCAAGAATTGAAGAATACACCCTCGAAAATGTTGCTGAGAATTCGAAGCGTAATACTGTAGTTGGAAGAAGTAGCAAGTATTGTTTTCCGATATGTTCGTTGAATTCTGTCCCGGACTAAATTTCCATCAGTAAGCCGAAGAATGCCTAGTCGAGAAATATTTAACTTACCCGTTCAAATCCGAGCTAAATATATAATGCATTCGCCGGACCACAGTTAGAAGTTTGAAGCTTTTTAAGCTTCATACCGAATTCAAAATTCTTCCGCATTTACATAATTTCAGAAAATTTTATATTGTACGTTGAAGAGAACATCTTGCCAATATTTCCTGAAATCACCGTGACCGCAGATTAGCTGCCGTAAAACTCTTGAACAACCGTCAAGAACGAAAGTATTTTAACTCGAACGTAGCTTCTAATACTGAACGATCAAACTTCAAGGGATCAGAAAAACATTGCCAATTGGAGATTTCGAGTGACGGAAATAAGCATATTTTGTTGGGGGGGAAAGGAAGAAGAATGACAGGAAATTGGAATTGGTTATATTCTGGTCCTTAAATTGCTTTCAAGTTGACAGGATGATGAAGTTGGAGCCAGAATGGGTTGATTTTCCCAATTATCCTCCCGCTTCCTTTTAAAACGCATCGTTGGACTTTTATTTCTTTTCTCCTTCCTGTGTCAGAAAAATGTCCTCCAGATATTTGGAGGTACGGAAGTTTCAGAAAGAAAGCCTTCGAGTTAGGGACATTGGAACTTTGTTTCTGTAAAGAATTCAAACAGGGACTTGAAAAATTCGACTTGGGGAGTTATTCGACTTAGAGGTTCGAATCATCGAGGTTGAACTGTATTTACGGCGTATCCGCACTTCTCTAAGCGAATAGCGCCTACTATTGAATTATGGCAAAGTGGTTCGTAAAATGTGCAAATAATCATACAAGAGCACTGATCTTCGGATAGGGAGGAAGAACACTTCTTCGAAGTATAGATTCAGTTATTGGAAGGAGGTTTAAAAACGAATACCCTTACCAAGCTGCTCAACTGATGTGGTCAGGAGCCGAAGCTGAGGCGGTTTTTCACAAGGTCCTCGGATCTCGACGGGGTTGTATATCATCGTAGAAGGCTCGGACGAAGGTTGCCAGCTGTCACAGCCAGCAGCAGTCGACATCGACGCGTCACCGGGGAACAAAGACCCGGGGGTTTCCAAAGACGAGTAATTGGAGCCATTGATGGTGTTTAGAAGGTTATCGAATTCCGTGGAAACCCCTGTGGCATCTTCTATGCGTCCAAGTGTAGTTCCGGTGTTATTGTTGGCGATATCATGGAGAACGTCTTTGGTTCGTGTCCAGGCGCATTTCACTGACCGGATCGATGATTGCAGTAATTTCTGCGAAGAAGGTGAAATTGAACTTCTGTTTCTTTTTCGTATGTAGTGACAGTCCTTTACGTGAAGTAATTGTGAAATCATCATCGCACGGAATACGCAAGAAAGCAATTATAGGACTGTAATATGCATAGTTTCTTCTGATCGGGTGCAGGAGAATATCCCATAGGAGAAAAAATCCCGCGGCTCAAAAATCCCGTGAGGCCGATAATCCCGTAGGCCGAAAAATCTCGTGGGGTTCTTAAATCCCGTAGGTACGAAAACCCGTATACAGTACTACAAAATTGTGATATTCTGAGTTTTCCTTCCAACTGCGTTTACTCTTCTGTGGCCTTCGGTGGGAATCTTGTTAAGTTGAATGGCTTGTTGAATTAAAAAAAAAATGTATGCTCTAATATTTATGCTATAAAATTTATTTATTTATTTATCATGTGCTGTACATTGAAATTGAAATTCGACGAGATGAAATATACTTATATAACTGCATTTAGACTTATTTGATGATTTAGAAATTATTTACAGACCATCACCATATATGTAGATATCAAAGGAGGTTTTTTGGATGTAAAAATTCATGTTTTGAGGGCAAAGTAGAACTGAAAATACTGAAATTGGAAAAGTGAACAGTTCATATGCAGAACAAATGCAGGGACAAAGTCTTGATCCAAATGAAGGTTACATTTTTCTCAGGTTTCCTCAGGAGAAAGGCAAGGAAGTGATGCTGAGGCTCTATTGACAAAGTTAATTCCTAAACCTTGGAAATCCTTGGAAAGAAACCCCTTGCACTTTCCCCATTTCATAATCCACCATATTCACATTCCTCCCAGGCAGTTGGAAAGAAAACTCACTCAGAAAACTCGAGATAATAGCACAATTTTGTTGGATACGGGATTTTCGTACCTGCGGGATTTTTGGACTCCGCGAGACTTTTTGGCCTACGGGATTAGCGGCCTTACGGGATTTTATCATGGAGCCCTTCTGATCATCAGCAACGAATCAATTTCTCGCGGAAGTCCCGAACTAATTGAGTTGCAGATTTTGGAACATAATGCATTCTGTTACGGTATTATTCCTTCGATCCCTCAACAAACGTCGCTCGGACGGCGCGAGAATTCTATGAGACGATGGTATTTTGTCGTATAGATATATCTGAAGATGTATATATGTCGAACCAGGTGGAGATAATCAGCTTGGTAAATTCGCAGGAATATTCGACGATAGAACCTTATTGTGTCAACTGGAGGTTGATTATACTCCACCCACTCAAGATAATTCAATTTTCTGGGTATTCTGTTGTCATCAATAACTTTGCTGCGTTCCCTTTCACCTAGCAGACGACGCTCCGGATAAAGTCACGTCGTCTGGCTCACGGTTCCGCCGTGTGATCTCCCGCGAGTCACGCGCCACAAGGTTACGCAACCTCACCTAGAATGAGGTCAGATCCGGGTCTGACCATTCTTGCCCAACTTTACCTGACCGAATCTATATAGTTGCCTGTTCTCTGTTGATCGCGCGCTCAT